CGAGCAGCGGGGAGCACGATCAGCTGCAACCTTGAGCCACAGGAGATGTTTACTTGAGGATGGCTAGGATGAGGTGGGGGAGAGGACGGAGCGACGGAGGACGGAGGTGGGGCGGGGGAAGGACGACGGGGGCGGAGGGCAATGGGGGGCAGACGAGGCGAGGGATGATTGGTAAGGGAGGCGGGGGCGACGAAGGAAGCAGAACGCGGGAGGAATAGGAGGAGGAGGGAGGGCGAGGCGGGACAACGAGGTAGGTTTTTTTCGTTCACAACGATACTTGTCCGATTCGACCGCTCGCCGCGACGACGATCGACGCGAACTTCGCCCTCGAGGGGGCGGTCCTAATGAACTCGAACAGAGAAACCGTTGCATCGACTCAGTTGGTCGTGGGCGAAGGTTGCTTGCTTTGATCCTTTGAAGCCACCCGAGGGCGATCGCAGACTTTTGACCTGCAGAGTGGGGCCCTCGCCCTTTGCCGCCTAGGCCCACTCGCCTTTCCCGACGCCCCGCTCTCCGACGCCTTGCCCTCCGTCTTCCACCATCTCTGGGCCGCGGGCGCGGCGTTGTGCAGGGCGCTCTGCCCGCTCCCAGCGAGCAGCAGAGCTCGCAGCGTCCTGGTGGCTCGGCGAGAGGATCGCACGCGAGTGGAAAAGAGAGAAAGTGAACGCTCGACATTGCCCCGCCATCATTGTTATCTTGATCGTTCTTGTAATTCCTGATTGCCCGTGCTTCCGACTCACCGCGCTTGTCTGCTCGGCCCCGATGCAGCGGTAGTGTGGAAGCTATTGCAACGTTCTGTCTGTTCCGCACCAGGGGTGCTCGCATCGGCTCTGCCACCCCCCGCGTATTCGACAGGTCGGGCGTTCTCGTGCAGCCAGTCTGGCACAGTGCGTTTAGTTCCTAGTGTTGGCAATACTATGTATTGTTCACGTTTCGCCCGCCCCCACCCGAGCACTATTCAACGACCCCCTTTCCGAGCCAGCATCGGGTTGGAGGCGTGGCGCAATGATGCTGCATCGTCTCGTGTTCTTTCGTGGGGGTGGGGGGGGGGGGGGGGGGCGCGTCCGAGGCGACGTACCGTGATGTGTTAGCACGTCGTTTTGTCGGCTCTGCAGCCAGTGGTGTTGGTAGAGGTTCTGGAGCAACCCGCAATCTTAGCTTGCGCGGCGTGGCCGCAGGTGGCGGTGGCCACGCTGGGGGGGGGGGGGGGGTGGGGGGGGGGGGGGGGGGGTCATCGTAGGCTTCGCCTCGCGCGCAATCATTCGCGCGGGCATGCGCACAAACAGAAACGCAAACATAGGAGGCAACCACACGCATGCATCCACATCCGTAGCCAGTTTGGGCTCAAGCTTCCAGTGTCCATGTCCAGTGCCACTTGTTCGATTTCGGCAACTTGCCACCGATTGAACATATTCATATCATGCAGCGTCCGCTTGTGCCAGGCGGTCGGCCCGCGAACTATTACAAAAATCGGTTGACGCTCGCTCTGATGAACAACAACGCGTTGAAAAATGAGCTCGCGGAGAAAACCAAGATCCTCGACAGTGCGTGCGATGGCCTCTCAAAGTTTCAGGCAAAGCTCTTTGCGAAAAAGGAGGCCCCGCCCGCGTACCTCTCAGACCAGGGCAAGAACATTTGGCTCCTTCAGAAGCAGGCCAAGAAAGGGGCCAAGCCACAGCCCGAGAAGCCCGCGCCTCCCGCCAACAAGAAAAACGGAAAGAAGGCGAAGCCGATCCCCGCGGACTACATCCCTCCGTGGCAGCGCTCGAAGTCGACGTGAGTATATAGCTTGTGAGGCAGCCTTTCACTTGATGCAGCCTGTGGCTGCATGCACCCTCTGACATGATGCAGCTTGTCATTTGAGGCGGCCGTGGCGCGAGATAGCCTGGATGCGAGTTGGACGTGTCAGCTTGTGCCTCACGTCGCGGCCGCATGGTTCATGTGCCAGCTTGTGCCTCACGTGTCAGCTTGTGCCTCTGTGGGACCACTTGCAGCTAGTTCATAGCCGCTGAGGCGTCTAGAGGACGCCACTTCCGTTCGTTGCCTGTCTGCTGACGCTCCGCCGACGGGCCAGCCGCTTGGTAAACAATCGCCCTCGTCGACGTCGTCGTCGTCGTCAGGGGTCAGGGGAGGGGGATAAAGAGGACGACGAGGGGGGAGGAATGGGGGAGAGAGTAGGAGAGGGGAGGAGGGGGAGAGCGGAGATAAGGAGGAAAGGGAGGTGGCGGAGGAGAGGGGAGGTTGAGAGGAGCATAGGGGATGAGGAGGAGAGGAGCAGGATGAGGACACAGGAGGAGAGGAGGAGAGGAGGAGAGGGGAGGAGGGGGAGGAGGGGGATGAGGCAGAGGGGATGGGAGGATGAGGGAAAGGAGGAGAAGATTTTGCTTCGGCGCGAACCCCCAAACGCTCAAAACAACGCGCCGCGAATCGCTGCAGAAGTGTAGTAGTTAATCCAAGTAGCTGCAGTTTGGTTTAATAGTGCGCTCCGCTATCCAACGTAAATTTGCTCTTAAACCGAAATCGGGCGGACCAGGACTGTTTTGCAAACCAAGTTGCTTTTTAGATTGCGTGGCCGAGTTGCTTTACAAACGCGAGTTGCTTATTAGATTGCGTGGCCGAGCTGCTTTGCAAAAACGAGTTGTTTTGCCTTCTGCGGGAACGAGTGTGGGAACGAGTGCGCCCTTTCGTCTTGCCTTGCCCTCTGCGGGAACGAGTGCGGCGGTCGTTCGTCTTGCTTCTTGGGGGCCCCTGCAACGCAGCCCGCGCGCACCTTCTCAACTTAGAACACTTAACTCAGTGCTTCGAAAACGCCGAACGCGCGTCGGGGCGCTGGGCACTCGCTTCACACCTCCCGGGCCGCTCCAACGTAGTGGCTGACTGGGGCTCTCGGGGCTCGGGTTTTGCAGCAGCCTGGGCCGAAGATCCTTTCAAAGATGCTGTCCTGCGTAAGGATCTGTATAAGGAAGTGCAGAGTAGATGCAACGTCGCTTGCACGCTGGACCTCTTTGCCGACATGCGCGGGCTGTCCGCTCTAGCCGCAGAGTGGCGACGCCCAGAACTGACGGCTTTCGAATGCAACCTCGAGGGTCACGTCGTCTGGGCTCACCCACCACGGGCCCTAGCCCAGGCGCGCCTGGATTTTTATTTAACAGCGTTTGCTGATAGGTTTCTAGTAAGGTCAAAAGAGAGCATCATGACTCCTCAGGGGGGTATGGGCGGGTGCCGGGGAGGAGAACCGGGAATCGTTTTTCGCCAACAGTCACACACTTCGTGCTCTTCGACCTCCCAGAACTCCATTCCCGGGACACATTCTGGAGAACCGGGAACAGAGCCGGGTTCGTTTTTTTGCCAACAGTCACACATTTCGTGCTCTTCGAGTTCCCAGAAATCCATTCCCGGGCTACATTTTGGATGCCCGGAGCTAATTGTAAGGCACTTCGTGGTCTTCGAGTTTTCAGAACTTCATTCCCGGGCTACTTTTTGGATGCCCGGAGCCAACTGTAGGCCACTTCGTGGTCTTCGAGTTCCCAGAACTCCATTCCCGGGCTACATTTTGGATGCCTGGAGCCAACTGTAGGCCACTTCGTGGTCTTCGAGTTCCCAGAACTCCATTCCCGGGCCACATTTTGGATGCCCGGAGCCAACTGTAGGCCATTCGTGGCTTCGAGTTCCCAGAACTCCATTCCTGGCATGATTTTGAATGCCCGGAGCCAACTGTAGGCCACTTCGTGTTCTTCGAGTTCCCAGAACTCCATTCCCGGGCCACATTTTGAATGCTGAGGCAGGCTGATGCTGAGGCTGAGGCAGGCTGAGGCTGAGGCAGGCTGAGGCTGAGGCCGAGGCTGAAGGCAGACTGAGGCTGAGGCTGAAGCAGGCTGAGGCTGAGGCTGAGGCAGGCTGAGGCTGAGGCTGAGGCAGGCTGAGGAGGCAGGCTGAGGCTGAGGCTGAGGCTGAGGCTGAGGCTGAGGCTGAGGCTGAGGCTGAGGCTGAGGCCGAGGCTGAAGGCAGACTGAGGCTGAGGCTGAAGCAGGCTGAGGCTGAGGCTGAGGCAGGCTGAGGCTGAGGCAGGCTGAGGCTGAGGCTGAGGCAGGCTGAGGCTGAGGCTGTGACTGTGACTGCCGTTGCCACTGCGACCGCCATCGCGAATGCGACTACGACTGCGAGAACAGCAGAATTCTACAACTGGATTATCATCTGAATCTTAAGGGGGATACTTCCAGATATGCTCTTACACATCGCTGTTAGGTTGCTTTGCCGGGATAATTTCAAGTCTGCCCGAAAAGCTCGCCCGCCCCTTAAGATTTTATTGCTTCTGCCAGAGGGCGCAGGAGCTCCGTGGTTCCGCGCGGGCGCGCTGTTTTCCTGGCGCCAGGTCCGCTCCTGGGATCCCCGCTCGGACATCTTCCGGTGGAGGGTCAGGTGCGGCGCGGGCCCCGCACGGACCTTCGCTATTCGGTTCTGGCCAGTTGGAAACCAGCCAGGAGAAAGCGATGATTGCACTGACTTCGCAGTCGCTGAGCGCAGGTTCAAACAATAAGTCCTGGCGATGGACCCAACCATATGCAGTTGCGAGTACCGCAAAGCAGGTTGGAGAGGAGGCGCGGTGCATCGTCTCTTCAAAACGAGGACCCAACACCACAGGATGGTTGGGAAATATTCACACACGCACGCACGCACACACACACACGCGCGCGCACCCACCTCCCACTCGGCACGCTGGCTCGTCACTCCCCTGCCTTCCCTCTCCTGCCCTCTCCCCGTCTTGCCACGCCCTCGCATTGGCATCTGGCCCTAACTCGGTGGGGGCCTCTTCAGACGATGACAGTGGACGGGGAAGTAAGGGGCTGGAGAAGCACAGAGGAGGGGGGACAAGAGAAGGGAGGACAGGCATAGCGGATCTGGGAGGACGCCGCGCCCCACGCCATTCGGCCCGAGCCCCAAGATCAACCGCGCCGGCCAGCTCGCCCACGCACACCTCGGCCCCCCACCTTTTCCAAGGCATGGCTTCCGATGAACAGGTCAAGACACTGATTGCGGAAGGAATCAAGGTTGAGACGCAGCCGGGGGGCGCAATCTACAATTCCGTCGTGGAAGGGATTGCAGAGCAGCTCAGCACCGCGCCCCTCCCAGGCGGGACCGTGTACGCAGCCCTCGAAGAGTCAGCCAAACCCGGAGGCGCCGTCCACGCGGCGTTCACCAACGAGTACAACAGGGCGGCTGACGAAGAATACCCTTGGCGGGCCGTCTTGCGGAACCTCACGGTTGCGCAATGGAAAGCGACGTGGGAGGCGCTCACGGTCGACCCTGACAGTGTCGAGGCAGCCGGGGAGGCCATCGAGAAGTCCGGGAACCCCGCAGATAGCCTGCGGGGGTTGAGCGCGGCACACCCAGATAACAAGGAACTTGAGGCTCTACAGACCCGCGTCGCGATGAAGCACGCGGTTCGTACGAAATGGAAAGATTTGCCCCTCCCGGAGCGGGGCGGGTCCAGCGAGAAGTTCAGGTGCCACCTCGGAGAGCGAGCCGAAGCCGGCAGGGACCAGAACGTCCGCGCCCTCAGCCGCTGCGTCTTGGTGCTTTACCATCTCACGGAGAAGAGGTACACGTCTGTCCTTACCGGCGACCAGGCCAACGCTGCCAAAGCCGAGGCCCAGCGGACGACGGTCATGCCGTGGGTCTATTACGCCATCAAGGCTTTCAAAAAGCGCCCGTTCAAACCGAGTGCGGCCCGGGCCTTCGACCACGAGATCCTCCTGAAGGACTTCGGCCTCGACTTGGCGTTCGGGGAGGTTGCGCTCTCGAGCGCGGCTGCCCGCCAGAGCCGCGCGAACGACCTGAAGCGACTCGACGCCGACTCGCCGCAGTCCGCTTCGAAAGCGCGGCGCCTGGGTGACCCGTCGGGCACAGCCGCGCCCGCGGGTCGCAACCAGAGCGGAGCGGCGGGGTACGACCACCGCGCCAGCTCCGGGGCGAGGGCGAACCGCTGGTCCAACGTTCCGGCGGCGGGCCCTCCGGCGGACGCGCCCTTGGCAGCTCCGGGGACGCCGCCAGCCCCTGGTCGCAAGGAGTTGGTGCGACAGATGAAAGCCAGCCTCGCCGCTGTCGCGCCGGGAAAGTCCGCGCATTTTTTCCAGAAGTGGTTCGACGATCGCTTCACAGAGAAAGGCTTGAAACAGGCCGCCCTCCAGGTCAGCCGAGAGGCGTGCAAGAACTGCCTCTACAGCGGCAGAGGCGCTTTGGAGCACACTTTTAAAGGGTGCCGCGACACTTTGAAGAACAAGTGCGCCCCCCCGTGCCCGCGGTGTGTAGCCGCGGGCAGGCTGACGGGGAACGTGCGCCCATGGGCGCAGGATTGCGAGTTTAGCTGAGCAGCAAGCTCGCTGCGGCAAGGGGGCCGGGAAAGCATGGCGACATCACATACCGCATGTCTTGATAACGCAGCAGTAGTTATGGATGGGTTTCCCGGCCCCCGCGCCCCCCGTCTTGGCCGTCTGCCACTGCGCGAGTTTTTTCGGCAGACTGCCTCGGCAACAGCGCGGCGCAGCCAGCAGCGAACCCGCAGCGACAGCTGGGCCGGGAAACAGAACGCCAGCGCAGAGCATCCATATCCAACACACGAAACATCGTGGGGGAGTTCCCCGGCCCTGCACTCTCCCCCGGCGCCGTCTGCAGTTTGGGACTTTTACAGCAGGCCCTCGAAGGCGCCGGGCGCTCCCACCGCTACGCCGCACGCGCGGCGACGCTCCCACCGGGCCACGGGAAAGAATGCCCATCCCCCCCCTGCCCCATTTTTCCTATTCCCTTTCCTTCCGCTCCCTCCCTCGTCCCCCGCCCGTTTGCTCCGCTCAAGCAAGCCCCAACTCGGCGGGGGCATCTTCGGGCGACGGATACGGGGGGGCGCCATTAATAGGGAGGCGGGGTCAGGGGCAGGGGAGACGGGCCACGCAGGAAGCGGGGTCAGGAGTAGGGGAGAGGAGGCAACCAGACGGTGGGGGAGAGAGGCGTTCGCACGCTAAGAGTCTGGCATTGCAACGGCTCCTCCCGAACATTTGGAGTTTGCGCTGGTGCGCCTGCGTCGCGATTGATGACAGCCACGCCAGCCCGCCCAGAAACGACGCGCCCGCGTGAGCACGCTGGGGATGAGGTCGAGAACCCCGTCGCTACAGCAAACCCGCCAGAGCGTGTCGGCTCAATCCTGGTCGTCATCATGGACCTGCCACTTTCCCCAGCTCAAAAATTCCGGCGGATCGGGCCATCCTTTCTTTACAGAGATGATTTCGTCACAGACGCTGCCGCTGGGGCCGGCCGCAGCGTTCAAGAGGAGAGAGTGGCAACGGCACCCAGCGCGGCCGCCCGCGCCTCAGAGGAACCGCCTGGCGCGGACGCAAGGCGCCCAGGGGGGCCGGGCTCGTCGGCTTCGCCCCCTTCTGACCCTCTCGGAAGCGTCCAACAAGCCAACGACAACGCCAGTGAGCGGGCCCAGGCAGGCGCTGCACAACTTGCAACGCAACCTTCGGGAGGTACCGGGGTCACGGCGCAACGCGCCGGGGCCTTGGGGAGCCATCCTGCTAAGAGTGTCGCCGCCCAGCGCACAACGTGCGTCGGGCGCGCACCCGGCACTCTGGCCGGGCCTCCCAAGTCGGGGCCCGACCGGCTGGGCTCCCGGCATCTGGTTGGCCTCGAAGTGGTGCTGAACATCCCGGCGGTCGCAAACGCGACTGCCGACCAACGGGCGTTCCAAGCCAGAGCATTTGCCACAGTGAATTCCTGCATCCGCGCGGCGTGGGAAGAGTCCACGCGCGCGCGCTGCGATGCTGCGCTTCGCTCTGTGGCCAACCGCGCAGAGTCGGCGTCCGGTCTGTCATTGCTGCCCTGTGATTCAGACACAAAGCTGATGTGTCTATTCGCTTCCTTGGACGGCAAACCGCGGGGCACAATCTCCACGGCCCGCGCAGCAGTGCGAGCATGGCACGAAGAACGGGGCCTTGTAGACCCTTTTGATTCCGCATGGACCGACCGGGCCGCACGTTTTTGGAAAGGTCTCAAAAAACGAGCAGACCACACTTTGTCACGGGCCAAAGAGCCACTGTCTTTAACACAGCTCCTGCACTACGTGCGGGCGCGCCGCGGTGTCAACTCCCCCGCGGGCGTCCAGGACGCAGCTGCTGCGGCATTTTGCTGCTTCGGCGTGCGACGGCCCGCCGAGATGCGTTTCATGGCGGCGGAGGAACTTGCGATCGAGACAACGCACGCCGTAGCATTCATCAGGGAGCAAAAGAATGATCCACTAGGAGCAGGGATGCGCTGCATCATCCCATGCTTTCCGCGCCTCGGAGGCTCCTGCCCCGTGCAACCGCTGCGGGACTGGGTCGCCGCCCGCGCGAAGTTGTGGCCGGATCACACCAATGGCCCGTTGTTTTCCGTTACGCACAAGGCAGTGCCATCGGCAATTTCCGCCGACACAACGCGCAAGTCTTTTTCATCAGTGTTTCCCGGGTGCTCAACGGGCGCCCACTCGCTGCGAAAAGGCGGGGCCCATTGGTGGAAAGCAGATGCCCAGGTCCCAGACGAGATAATTCAAGCTCGAGGCGGGTGGTCGAGTCCCGAGACCATGCGCTCTGTATACCCGTTTCAACGAGCAGGAACGTCTCCGACTGTTTGCACAAGCAGCTGCGTCCATCAAACCGGACACCACCCAAACCTTCAAGCCTCCCGGCTGCGCGCCGGCCCTGTCATCCGAGCAGGGCCAGTCGGCACCCGGGCCCATGCCTCAATGGAGACGCCTCGCTCACTCATTGTGAGCGCCACTTGCCTCACTGGGGGTTGGCGGGGTCGCAAAACGGCGCCCCGCCAGCAGGCCTGCAATTCCCCTGGCGTTCCCTTTTGCGGCATGGCTTGCCGACCCCAGGAAAACATACACCTTCCTTGCATTCCTCCTCTCCTCCCCATTCTGCCTCGTCCTCTACCTTCTCCCTCCACCTCTGCAAGGGGACGGCTGGGATGGGCCAGCGGTAGGACAGGCAGGGCGCCCGTTGCCCGAATGCGTCTTTCTAAGGGGGCTTGCTTTCGGGAAAGGGGCTTCGGGGTTGGGCGCACGCAACATCCTATCCTTGTCCTCTTCGGTCGTCAGCTGGATCCGTACACGTGTTTTGTGGCGCAGGCGCCGTGGCAGCTCCGCGGTCGGGGCGTTCGCCGTCCCCGCGCAGCCGATGGCACAACTGCAACCCGAGGGGGTGCATTCCTTACCCCGGGGGGCCTCAATGGGGGAGTTTTTGACACCCACCCACCCTACCCCTTTCCGCCAGTTGCAATCCACCTCCCTTCGGGGGGGGGGGGTGGCGGGGTCGCATAACGGCGCCCCGCCAGCAGGCCTGCAATTCCCCTGGCGCTCCCTTTGCGGCATGGCTTGCCGACCCCGGGAAAACATACACTTTCCTTGCGTTCCTCCTCTCCTCCCCATTCTGCCTCGTCGTCTACCTTTTCCCTCCACCTCTGCAAGGGGACGGCTGGGATGGGCCACCCGTAGGACTGGCAGGGCGCCCGTTGCCCGAACCCAGAGCATCTGGGAAACTACGGGGAATCTTTGTTTTTGGTGTGCATTTACTTGTGTGTCCCAGGGCCCCTTCAGCTGGGACCTCTTGCGTCGGCGGCATTGGTTTCCCTCCTCCCCTCCCTTGTCGTTTCACGTGACAGTTTTCAAGCTTCGCTCACCTGGTCCCAAATAGGCCCGGGCTGCTGTTCGCACTGGTGGTTCGTTACCCCTGCCTGGCGCCCACCGTGCCGCAGTACCCCTGCATGGGCGGCGCCGCCAGCGCCCACCTTACTCGGGTGGGCGCTGCCGCCCACCAGAGGGGTGGGAGGGGGGTCGGAGGGTTCAGGAGTCGAGTCCCCCCTGCGAAATTCGCAGGGGTCCTCAGTGAGCATTCGTGTAGTGGCAGATGTTTAGGACATTTGTTGGTCGCAATGCTCCCTTCGAAAGAATGTTTTTTTTTTTTTGTTTTTTTTGTTGTCAAGGGGTCCTGAACAAGTTTGCCTTTTAGTTGGAGATCCCTGAAGAGGATGCCTTCAGTAAGCATTTGTTATTAAAGGAACCTTTTGAATGAGGAAACCACTGTATGGATCCCTTCAATGAAGAGTCCGTACTAAGGATGCCTGTAGTAAGGATCCCCTGAGTAAGAGCCCCTGTAGTAAGAATTCGTTTCGCATGCTGCCTTTAAACAGAGCCCTTCGGGATCCTTAGTACGAATGCTTTTCGCAAACCCTCCTTACTGAGGATTTCTTTCATGCAGTGATGTGTTCCCGATGTTTCCTGTAGCGATGGTTTGGATCCGTAGTACGGATGTGTTTTGTGAGGCCTTTTTAGCGGGGGAGGACCGCATAGTTCTCGGTTGGCTGCCTGTCGCCTGGGGGAGGCGGTGTATATTCATAGGGAATAGTGAGAAGCCCTCTCCGAAGGAGAAAAAGGGGGTTGGAAGAGAAACCGTTCTAGACCACCTACCAGAGGCCTGGTGGGACCACATGAAGACACTTGCAGATGTATATATTCATACATACATAGATCAGGAACAAGCGGGTAACTTCAGAATCCTTGCAGGCCGCGCCGAGAAGTCTTCTTGTGTTGGATCGGGTCTCCTGCGGAAGGAAGAAGAGGCTGCGCGTTTCGCCCCCAAGGGGCTCTTCGGGGCAACTGGCCCGCGGTGCAGAATCGAACGAGCATCGTCGACGGTGGGACCGCAGGCGGAGCGGAGAGGTGCAGTGCACGTTGGGGGGTACACTCGGGCGTCGGGCCATGGGGGTGCGAGAAGTGGGGGGATGAATGAAGAAAGGTGCACCTCTTGTGCTGCAGAGGGGCCCCTGGGGCCCAAACGGGGCACGACAGGTGCCCGTCTCGCCCCCTCCCCCACCCATTCATCGCCCCCGCCATGTATCAACGCCCGATTCACGCAGTGCACGGTGCGCAGCACCTTCCACACCAGAGGACGGACGGGCAACTGAGGAGAAAAAGGAGGAGGAGAACGATCTGGTGAGAAAGGAAAGGAACATGAATCGAAGGAGGAGGAGGAGGAGGAGGAGGACGACGACGACGTTTTCTGCAAGATGGCGTTCGCGGCTGTCTCTACGGATCTGCATTCAAAAGGATTGGGTTGGACGAACGGGTAAGATAGGGAAAGGGAGAGTTACAACATCTGCTGCATGCAGCTGGTTTCAGCCCCGCCGCCAGAACCGTTCCTCGATGCACGGGCGCCGCCCGGCGCCGGGAGGCGCCAGGAAGACCAGCTGCGTGATCTGGTTCTCGGTGGGCTCGCGTCGGGTCGACCGGCGGCGACCCCAGCGCGGGCGTGTGAGGTGGAACGCCACCGGTGGCCCAGAATCGGCCCATCGTTGACCGATCTGGCGTTGATCATCACCACCCACCAAACCACCCCAACCCAACCCGAAGGCTCAAATTTACCCTCGATTTCTAGTGGGGGGGGGGTCGGGAAACATCGAAAAAACACGCGTGGAACCCTTACCCCCCCCAACCCGAAATTCGGGTCTTCGGGTTGGGTTGGGGTGGTCTGGTAGGTAGTCAGAACAATGCAACGGCCGACCGTTCAAGTCTGACCGATCCCCGCGGCGTCAGAAACTGACGCAAGGGGTCGTCACGACACGAACCTGCCATGCTACCACTGGCCGCAGCCGCCGCCCCGCGGCGCCCCGACCGCGCCGCCGTCGCTCGCTGGCGCGACCGTCGTCGTCCACCGTCGACCGTCGTGGCCGTCGTCGTCGTAGTAGTCGTCGTCGTCGTCGTCGTCGTCGATCTGCCCCGCGCCAGAGGCCGCCATGCGCGCGGACGAGAGCGCGCGGGCGCCCGCGCCGGAGCCGGCGCCGCCGCGGCCGCCGCGGCCGGCCGCAGGCGCCGCGGGTCGCGGCCCGTCGTGGCGCGCGGGCCGTCGGCCGTCGTCGGCCACGCGGCCGCCGTTCGGGGCGATCGGCACGGATACGGGAAGGGTCGGTACGGTCGGACCTCTGCACGAGCGGAATGGGCACGGAAAGAATGGGTGCAATGCCCAACAGCAGTTCCTGTTCGTTTTGAACAGGAGTCGCTGTCGGTGTCGCCGCGGCCTGTCTCCATTTGAGACAGAAGGCCGCCTGCCCAACATCAGGAGCGAAACAAGGACGTACATGTACATGAATCCACGCTGGTTTCGGGAGCACGCATTGCACAAATGTTCGTATAACGCGGCGGGTCTCGCGAATCGAGGGGCCGTGTTCACGTACACAGCTGGGCGCGTACGTCTTTTGTGGGCTCCCTACAACAACGGCCGCTGTTGGTTTGGGACAACATTTGCTGTTGGGCATTGTACCCATTTTTTCCGTGCCCATCTCGGGCGTCCAAAGGACCGAGGTGTAAGATCGAGGTCCGAGGGGATAGGCTCGAGGCCTTCGGGCTCCTCCGTCGGTGCTCGGCGGCTCTCCAGCCTCGGGGTGCTCTCGCCGAGGGCGTTCCGAGGGCGCCCGAGAATCGCCCCGAGCGGCCACGAGAGGGTCGACGTGGTGCTGTCGGCGGGGGCGACGCCCTCCCGACCCTGAGTAAGAAACTCGGAGTACCCATTGTTCCGTTCCCATTCCGTTTCGGGCGTCCAATGCCGTCGGCCGTCGACGGAGTCCCTCCCCAGACGTGCTCGCGTCGTGGAGCACAAGGCTGGACGTGGGCTTGCGCCGTCTGCGGCCTCCGGGGGCCCTGGCCAGGCCCCGAGACCGGCTACAACAGCGACGCGGGGGGAGAAGCCGGTCTCGGGGAAAGAGGGTCGGTGTTGCTCGGGGGCCGCGTTCTGCAAAACATCCGGACATCGCCTGTCTGGGTCCCTCTCTCTGCGCCCCTCCTCAGACTGCTCGTTCCTCCTCCCTCCCCCTCCTCCTCCTCCTCGCCCGCTCCTCCCCTCCCTCGCTCTCCTCCCCCTCCTCCCGCCCTCCTCCTCCCTGCCCCTTCCTTCCCTCCTCCTTCACTCCCACGCCTTCTCCCCTCGTTCCTCGGAAGGGGGGAGGGGGGGGCACGGGGGAGGGAGGAAGAGGGGACGGGGGAAGGAGGGGGATCGAGCGGACGCGGGAACGAGTGAGCAAGGAGGGGGGGGAGAGAACGAGGGATTGGACGAGGGTGGAAGAGGATGTACGGTCGGAACAGAGATGGAAGAGGAGGGGCAGCAGCAGCAGCAGCAGCGACGGGAGCAGCAGGAAGCGCAGCAGGCGACGGGAAGGGGCGGGGCCGGGAGGCCGAGGTCAGGCACCGGCGGGGAGGCGGCAATGGGGCGGGGGCGGCCTCCGCAAAGGCCACGTGGGCCTCGTACCGTAGCTTGGCGTCGCTCGGACGTGTGTTTTTTTCCTTCGGCGAGGACCATCGAGGAGCATCCTTGACCATCTGGCGAAAAAGCCACGCACGAGACAGAAAAGCAACACAGGCAATGGACGCCCGAGCGATGGCCTGGTAGAGGCCCTCCCCCCGCTGGGCAAGGCGCGCGCTCCAGGAATCCAGGCCTCCCGGCATGGGGCCCGAGTGGACGGCACGAGCCGCCTGAAGATGGCGGGGGGGCTCAAGCTGGCGCGGGGGGCCTCGTGGAAGGCGTGGGCCTCCCTGGAAGGGCTCCTTGGGAGGCCTCTTAAATGCATGAGTCTTGTGTTGAGTCGGGCCTGTCCCCCTACAGGGGGATTGTCGACGAAAAATCAAAAATACCCCAAAGATAGTCCAAACAGAGTCCAACAATAGTCTGGGGACTATTTCTTTAGTATGTTTGGACCTTTTTGGGGTATTCTTGGGGTACTTTTAAAAATTTTTCGTCGACAATCCCCCTGTAGGGGGACACGCCCGACCTAAGTCTTGTGGGGTCTGGCCGGATGGGGCCGGCGCATCGCTCCGTACCGCGGACGCTGCGGCTCCGTGTGGAGCCAGGATGCCTCTACGCCGGTGGTGCCGAGGCCTCGCCGACGCGTCGCCGCCCGCGGCGGGCCGGCTCTGAGAGAGAGAAACGTCACGCAGGGACGAAGTGTCCCGGCGTGCCTATAGCACCACCTCGGGGGCGGAAAAGAGGGGGGTGAGGACTAGGGGGGGGGCTGGATATCATGGCGCGGGCCATGATATTTCCCCAGACTTCATGGCGCCTCTTCTTATTTCATTACGTCCCTGGCCCCCCCCACTGGGCCGCGCACATGCCGCCGGTCATGATTTGCACCCCCCCTCTTGGACACCCCCCTCTTTGCCGCTCCCGCAAAGTTCTTAGAACATTTCTGGCGTAATCTTTCCTGTTTCATCACATCGGGCCTATGTTCTAAGAGCTTTTTTTTAAGAACGCTTTTGGGTTCTAAGAACATTCCGCGGTAGGACTACAGGAATGCCGGGACGGTCGGTCCCTGCTCAAAAACGGTGCCCGCGGCGAGCGCCTCTGCGCCGTGGCGTTCGAACGGTTTTGTGAGAAGCTGGCATGCACGAGCCCAAGACCGCAGTCCGAATCGAGTATCCCTTGGCGCACCCTGCTTCGTCCCCGCTGTTCCTTCCCGCTGTTGTTCAGGAGGGGAAGAAACACACAGACACAATTAATCGTCGACTCCCAGGAAAATATGGGAAAATATGGGAAGTGGGGGGGAAGACAGAAACCCAGAAAATATGGGAAAATATGGGGGATATTTTTATTTGTGTGTATTTATTTGTGTGTTCCAGTTCCCCTTCAGTTGTCCCTTCCATTCCACCTCTCCAGGCCGTTCCGCTCGTCGTTGGCCGTGCTCCCCGTCCGCCCGCTTCTTGTGCACCTTGTGGAGATCCCCCATCGTTTCTCTCGTCTCTTCCCTCCCCGATTCTCCGCCCTAATTTGTTCGTTCTTCAACACCCCCTTTTCTTTCAGCGTGGATGAATTAAGCTTCGGCCTCGGCCTCTATCGCTTTGGAGTAAGCAGTTAGTACGGGCGCGTACCATCTCATCGTGGCCAAGGTCCTCGCCCAAATCGTGCCGCCCCCAGCCAGCTAGCTGCGCTAAATGGACCACCCACCAAGGGTCCGATTTGCGCAGCTAGCTGGCCAAGGACTGTTCCGCGCAAAACAGACCACTCACGGTCCGATTTGCGCAGCTAGCTGGGCGGGGCCGAGCTGCGCTACTCGGACCGGAGGATCCGATTTGCGCAGCTAGCTGGCCAGGGGCTGTTCCGTGCAAAGAGTACTGTACCACCGACGGTCCGATTTGCATAGCCACTGTGGCGGGGGCGGCACCGCGCAAATCGGACCTCAAGCGGTTCGATTGGGCAGCTAGCTGGCCGGGGCCGTGCTGCGCTAGATGGACCATCGGCAGTCCGATCTGCGCAGTCAGTTGGGCAGGGGGCTGCACCGCGCAGGTCGGACCACAGGCGGTCCGATTTGCGCAGTCCGCTGGGCAGGGGCTGCACCGCGCAAATCGGACCACGAGCGGCCCGATTGGGCAGCCAGCTGGGCGGGGCCGAGCTGCGCGAAACGGAACACCAAGTGTCGGGGGCGGACAGAACCCCCAATAGTGACACGTCGATTAGTGAATTGTCCGTTTTCGGTTCTCGAGAGGGCGCCGCGGCCGTTATTTTCCAGGCTTGCGCCCGCCAGGTTTGGGTCTCAGGTCGGTTTCACTAAACCACGTTTTGCTAAAGGGGGTTCTGTCCATCCCCGAAAGTGTCCCATTTGCGCTGCCAGGTGGCCTGGGGCTGTTCCGCGCAAAGCGGACCACTCACGTCCAGCTTGCTGCGCAAATCGGACCTTGAGTGGTCCGCTTACCGCAGCTCGTCCCCGCCTCGTAAGCTGCCAACTTGGGCCGCTTGTGGGTCGGTTTATGTGGCGCAGTCCCCGCCCGGCTGACTGCGCAAGTCGGTCCGTTAGTGGTCCGTTTTTGCACGAAACAGCTCCCGCCGAACTAGCGGCGCAAATGGAGCCCGGCGTGCTCCGTTTGGCGCAGCCCCGTGCCGGCCAGCTAGCTGCCAAATCGGGCCCTCCTGCGCAATCGTCGGGGGCGGCAAAGGGGGGGGTGAAGACCAGGGAGGGGTGGATATCATGGCGTGGGCCATGATATTTCCCCAGATTTCATCGCGCCTCTTCTTACTTCATTACGTCCCTGGCCCCCCCGCTGGGCCGCGCACATGCCGCCGGTCATGATTTGCACCCCCCCTCTTGGCCGCTCCCAAAATCGGGGCCGCGCAATGCTCAATCCAGCAAGTGCAGACTCCAGCAAGTGCAGAGCCAGAGGGCCGCTGACCTGCGCGAGGTGCCGCGTCCGTGGCCGCGTGGGTGGGCGCGCCAGTGAGCCCCGACACACTGTGTAAGCCCGTCTTTTATGTGCTCGCGCAGCAGATGCGGTAGTAGGGGAAACATGAAATCTCGGAGGTCCGCGCGGATTTCTCGGATCGGCGCTGGACCCCCCTCCATGGCGCGCGGAGCGCGCCGGGGGCGGCACCGGAGGCGCCGCCGGGGGGCCCAGCGCCGATCCGAGAAATCCGCGCGGACCTCCGAGTGTTTCTGTTTATGCCATTTCTTGTTCCCCCAGGTAGGCTCGCGCTCCGTTGGCGCGGCGGCTGCCCCACAGCGGGCGCAGCGAGGTCGCACGCCGCCTGTGGCCTGCCAGGCGGGCGATGCCGAGCGACCTGCAGTAGCGGAAGGCTCGGGCCGAACGAAAGGAAGGGATAGGGAAAGGGGAGGTTACGAAATCTGCTGCATGCAGCTGGTTTCGGCCCCGCCGTCGGGCCCATGCCTCGATAATATGGGCGCCTCCCGGCGCCGGGAGGCGCCGGGAAAATCAGCCACGTGAGCTGATTCTCAAACCCCCCCTTTGCTATCCCCCCCTTTCGCCCGGCCCGAAAGGCTGCGACAATTCGAGGCCGAATGATCCACGTGGTGTCGGAAGCCATGCCCACGCCACCGCGACCGTGCACCTGCCGCACGGTAGGTTCATGCGGCGATGGCGCGCCAGCGACGACAGCGAGTATTTTCCAGCTTGAATTCCGCATGATCGAGCGACGCGGGAAGCACCGAGGGACACGGTAACGCCAGAGGACCTTACGGTTAAGTCGGGCCCGTCCTTCTACAGGGGGAATATTCAAAAATAGTCAAAAATAGTCTGGGGACTATTTGTTTTAATTTTGAGCATTTGGGGGGTATTTTGTGAGTATTTTTTTCGCCCCAAATCCCCTTGTAGGGGGACACGCCCGATTTAACCTTACGGCATTCAATTTTGAACGAGCGGGGCCGCGATCGACCCATGGATGAACCGATCGACGCGGCGACAAAAACCTGTTGCGCGCGCCGACTCCGCGCGAACCTCACGCGCCGATTCGTGCTCCTCCCACCCGAGCAGGTGCTGCTCCATCGAGAAGTGCCAGGCCGAGCGCCGTCCGCGACAGCCTGCCCGACATCGTGAGGCAGCAAGCCCCTTGGAGGGAAGGGGTCTGCTGTCTGCCCTACGGTTCGGCGGTGGATAGACCCCCTACCCTGACAAGTCGATCAAGGAGTTGGCCGTTTTCGGTTTGCGAGAGGGCGTCACGGCCGGCATGTTTGCGGGTCCAGGTCCGTCGGTTTCGGTCCTCGGCCGTTTTCACTACGGGGAGGCTTACTAAAGGGAGGTTTGTCCACTGCCGAATGGTTGATGTCGGCGCGCTTTGGCTCGAGGGTCGAGGCTTCTTGACGTGGACTGTCTATTGGAGGGGCCTTACGGTCGGCACCGCCGACCCTGAACGACGACGACCACGCCGCCGCCGCCGCCGTCGCCGACGACGACGGCGACGGCGACGACGACGACGACGACGGCGAAGACGACGGCGACGACGACGTCGGCGCGCTTGAGCTCGAGGGTAAAGGTGTTTTGACGTGGAGTGTCTATTTTGGGCATCTGGATGACTCCTCCTGGGAGCTCCGGAGGTCGGGGGCGAGTCGTCGCAGCTGCAGCTGGGTGGAGTGCGACTGGGACACGTTGATGTCGGAGACCTCCCGGGAGGGACGTGGGGTATCTTGGGGACACTTTTCGAGACTGTTTTGGGAGCGAGTTGGTGGCATCTTGTCTCGTATAGCGCAGATCCGAGATGTGCGATTCCAATCATGGATTCTGCCTTCTTCCTCCTGGCTATTTCCCTTCTTCTGCTGCATTTCTTACACCCTCCCCTTCCCCTTCCTCCCCAGCGGCGGCCGCAGGAGAAGGGGGAAGAAGGGAAAGAGGAGGGGACCGACAGGACGTCGATGGGCGAGGAGGAGGAGGACGCAGGTAAGGAGGTGAGAAGATGAGGCTTCAACGGATTGAAGAGAGGAGGAGGAGGAGGAGGAGGAGGAGGAGGAGGAGGAGGAGGAGGAGGAGGAGGCTGAGGAAGAGGACGACACGGAGACCGACGAGGAGGATTCGTTGGGGGCCGTGGACGCTGCCGGGCGGAAGGGACGCACAGTCGTTGACGCCTCCTGGTGCAGCGCGCGGATTCGGGTATACGTAGCCACAATCGGCGTCACCCAAACATTCGGGGGAAAACAAACCTACCTCGCTTTTGACCACCCTCGCTTCCAAGAGATACCAAACGATGCCAAATTGCGGCCTGTACTGGTCAGGCCGCTTGACGAGGAGGCGCGTGGTATGGCTTGGTTTTGCCTGGAAGCGAAAGCGGGGGAGGTAATTCACGCTCTGAAGCATAGCAATACTATGTGTGCGTCGGGCCCCCAGGGGCGACGCGCGCAACGAGAAATCTTTTGACATTCGCGTCGAGGCGGGTACTTTCTGGCCACACCGCTGGGGACCCGACGTGCTATAACATAGGTATACCATTATGTTCGCGTCGGACGCGCACATCCAAGGAAAGCATCTAGTACTAGTATGTCTTTGTCGTCGTTTTCTGTTTCATTCCCAACCATCCTGTGGTGTTGGGTCCTCGTTTTGAAGATACGGTGCCCCGCGTTCATCCTTCCTTCCTTCCTACCTTCCCTCCTCCCCCTCCTCCTCCTCCTCCTCCTCCTCCTTCTCCTCCTCCTCCTCCTCCTCCTCCTCCTCCTCCTCCTCCTACCCCTCTTCTTCTTAGCCCTTCTGGCTCCAGCCAATTTGGAGGAGTTTGTCGGCAGCGAACTTCAGAAGGGCGTTGCTGTCGCGAGTCACTTTGGCTTGGCCCGTCTCGGCGCGCGCGCATGGCCCCCGCGCCCTGGCAGAGCCGCCCAGCACCCCACCGCCATGTCAAGTGGAGGTGCGGTTCCTGTGGATGTGCGCGCAACTTGGGCTGGATGTGTCAGTGCAAGCACTGCAAAGCTCAATGGAACGGCGCCACATGCTCGGAGGTCGACCCGCTGCGCCCCGCAGCTCAAGAAGGTGCTGGCGCTCGTCATCACTACGCTGGTGACCCTTGCGGCGCTCCGCTTCCTCCAGGTCCCGTCGGCGGAGGTGGTAGAGCGGGCTCTGATGGCATCAACACCAAGGGCCTCAGCCCGGATGACTTGCAGCCGCTGGCCGCCATCGCCACACGCCAAGGGTAATTGGAGCTGGCCAAGCAGTACGACTACGCTCGGGCGAAGCTTCTCCAGCCATCTCGCCAGCAGGAGGCCTCGCTCCACACCCGTGCTTCGCAGACCCAGAGCAAGATACGTCAGGTGGAGAAGAAGCTCGAAAAGGACATCTCGAAGCTGGAGCGCTGGCGTGAGGCGACCGTCATGCTCGAGTCTTCCATCCAGGAGATGGCCGATGAGCTGGATGGCTTTGAGAGGCAGTATTCGGAGCTCGTCGAGCAGATCAGCTTGGAGGTGGCCTCGTCGGTGCCGCCCAAGCAGTCTTCTGGCCCGGCCATCAGCTTGCGCGACCTGGTGGAGGGCAAGGAGCTGAGCTTCGAGCTCGTCGATGACCTGTGCGCGAACATGCCAGAGGAGTTCGATATGTCCGCGGAGGATAAGGAGCAGCTGGAGGCGCGCAAGGCCCAGCTGCGCTCGGGCCTCAAGGACATGGCGAAGCAGCTCTTCGGCAAGGCATCGTCGCACCTGGGGGCGGCTCGCCGTGAGCATCAGGAGCATCTCAAGAGGCTGTCCAAGAAGAAGAGGAGGACCGCGGAGGGCGACACACCCGGTGGCGGTGAAGGTGCTGGAGAACCTGGCCAAGGAGCTGGCGCTGCAGCGCCAGGTGGCGCTGAGCGGGCAACTTCTGAGGCTGGAGGTGGAGCCCCAGCCGCCTCACCTTGAGGCGCTTCGAGCTCGTCGCGGCCTTCGGGGGCCGACCCTGCTCTCCGCGCCAGGCTCTCGAAGGTACTCTCATCTTCTGACTCTTCTTTTCGCTCCCCCGCCCCCAACGGCGGTGGGGACGGGTCAAGAACGACTCAGGATAACACGCCGCTCCCGGAGAAGGGGTCTGGAGCTCCGTGGGTCACCACGACGGGGAAGGTCCATGCTTTTGTGCGTTCTTTGGGGGGGGGGGCTCTGGGGGTTTCCGGGGGCGCAGTGGACGCGCCCAGTAATGGCGCGCGCCTTCATCTAGGATGCCCTTGTCTCCTTGCCTCTGCGGCCCGTCCTTCGCCGTTTTCGCTGGTCGCCCGCCGCCCCAAGAATGCCAGCTTCGGCCTCCAAGGGTCTTGCGGCCCCACCACCCGTCCTCAATGCACGCTTTGACTGTGCGGCGGTCGGGATCTGGGGAGCGCCTAGAGCTTACCACCCTGCGCCACGCCCCCCCCCCCCCCCCCCCCCCCCCCCCACACACACAACACACCACACACACACGCGCACACGCCACACACACGCAAACCACACACACACACGCACACACGCACACACGCACACACGCACACGCACACGCACAACGACACGCACAGCACACGCCCACGCACACGCACCACGCACACGCACACGCACACACACAACACACCACCACACACACACACACCACACACACACGCGCACTCGCCACGCGCAGCGCACGCGCACGCGCACGCGCCGCGCACGCGCACGCGACGCGCACACGCATCCGCACACGCACACGCACACGCACACGCGCATGCGCACGCGCACGCGCACGCGCACACCCACGCGCACACGCACGCGCACGCGCACACGCACACGCACACGCACACGCGCACGCGCAGACGCAGGCGCAAACGCACACGCACACGCACACGCGCACGCGCGCACGCGCGCACGCGCGCACGCGCGCACGCCCGCCCACGCACACGCACACGCACACGCGCACGCACACGCACACCCACACGCAAACGCCGCACACGCAAACGCACACGCACACGCACACGCACACGCACCGCACACGCACACGCACACGCACACGCACACGCACACGCACCCGCACACACACCACACACCACACCACCTCGCACCCGCGTGGCCCCCGCGGCGACAGCCCCCGCAACAGGACGAAGTGATTCTGCCAGGGGCTCAGCGCCGCTTTCCATCCGCTCCCAATTGGGGAGGTTGTTGTCGGATTGGGGAAGGGTGGGAGTCCAATTTTGATGGAGCCAAATTTAGTTCTAGCTTTAGTCATCTTCTCTCGGGCCCAGGAGTCCCAGGCCCAGGGTCCAGGCCAGACGAAGACACTCTCGGAATGGTAATCGCCACGGCTAACTGTAACAGCTGGGGCTCGCTTCGTGATTGGCTTCCGTCGGCGGAGACCCCCCGCGCCATCTTTGTGCAGGAGCACCACTTGGCTGATCAAGATTCGATTGGTCGTGCTTCGAAGTTTTGTCTCGGTCATGGGTGGAAGAGCCTGTGGGGGCCTGCAGTTCGGACGGCTGAAGAAGGCACGTCAGGAGGCGTAGCGATCCTTGCCAGGGCCTTCATGGGGCTCCACCAACCTCTGCAGATCCTTCAAGGCCGTGCTCTGGGTGCTGTTGTTCATCCCCCAGGGGGTGTTCAGTTTGGGCTCGTCTCTGTCTGCGGGTTCGACGCGGTGGGCCCCACGGCCAGGCAGTTGGAGCTCTATATGGCGATAGGCTCCCATGTGGTTCTCGAGGGCCTCTCGCACGTCGTTGGGGGCGACTTCAATCTCGAGCCCCCAGAGCTTAGAGATACGGGTTTTCAGGAGCTGGCTAGGTGCGAACTTATCCCGACTGGAGCGCCCGCATGTCTCGGCGCTCGTCAGTCGGACTACGATTACTTCCTCGTTTCTGGAGGCTTGGCCAGAGGTGTGAAGCACGTGCAGCGATGCGGAGATAGCGAGTTCTCGCCGCACTTCGTGGTGGGGCTGGACTTCTACCCTGCCCTCTGCCGCCTGCAGGCCCTGGGTTTCCGCAAGCCCCCCCCCCCCTCTCCCCGTGGACGCCCATTGCGGGCGTTGCCCCCCCCCCCCCCCCCCCAGGTGACTTCGGAAGGGCCCACAGGTTCCTCGAGTGGGGGGGGAAAGCCTTGAGGTCCCAGGATGCCAGCGAGGTCCAGCGTCTTCTGAGCGAGACCTATCAGATCTGGGCCAATG